AACATTAAATACGAGCGCTATTTATTCTTTGCGCCTGGAAGGGACAAGAAAAAAGAATTTGTTGCGCTTATTATGCGTTAAACCATCAAATAAGGTGTATTATCATTCATGCTCGCTACAAAAGTATTCATCAAATCGAAAATAACAAATGCAAGTCTGAATTAAAGATTACGATACAAAAAGTGACATACTAAAAAGAAGTAAAAAGAATGAGTATCCCGTGGGTTGAGTTGGAAAAATTGGCGCTCACTGAACTCTTTTTATCAAAGCATATGAAATGTTACTAGGATGTATTTGAGCTCGACGCCATCAAAAATGAAAAATGTTATAAATTAAAACCTGTTCTGTAAACAGCAATAACTTTAATGTTTTGAGCGTGCTTCGTGTTCAACAAAAACGATTTATCATTCTACAATAGGCCTCTTCAAACTTCTGCAATTTAAAGGTTCGATTTTCTATCGGAAGTTAGCTTTATTTCTTACTTTGACTACATAATTACCTACTAAATTCAAAACAAAAAAGAAAGACCAATTTACATATTATGCATCTTTTTAAAACAACTCTACTGTCCGTAAAAAAGCTGTAACAGTATTCAGTCATGTCAATGCATTTGTTGAAATTTCACTCTGAACTTCTCGGCAGCCGTTGTGGAAGCTTCATGTTTACCTTCGTTTGAAGCATCTGAAGTGCAACTGGAGACCGTTATTAGACGTTTTTAAAGAGAAAACGGTTTTTGCCTTTGGCCCTGCGGTTATCGTCCAATTTTTGCTTGTTTAACAAATATCAAGAGAAATGATAAATACTCTTTCCGGCCCCCTTAAATTAAAAGTGGTTTCAAGAATCGATTAGTACTCGCATCAAATTTCACGGCATTTTTAAAAAGACATTAACTAAGGTTGAAGGCTAATGACGACCGCCTGAGGCGACAAAGAGTCGTCGAGGCGGACATAAAAGACTGTTAAGATTCTATTGGCTCTATTTACATTTCGAGGCCAAACCCAGAGTTAAAGCTAAATATAATTGAGGAAAAAGATGACGTTAGCTGTCCGTTATTCTCCAGGGACCAAAACAAATGCTATAAACCTATTCCATGCTGTAAAAGTACTTAACTTGACTCATCTACAAATATATTATAACTTATTATCTTTTATTCTCTGGATAACACAATGATGGCATCCACTTTAACATTAAAAAGCATTTAAAAAATATACGTGGTGAATAAAACACCAAGAGGTACAGGTGCATTTATCCACCTCATCAAAGTCCAAGTGTTTGCGTTTGCAAGAGTCATTTCAGAGAGTTGAAGAATTCCTTGATCGATCTCGGAAGCTCCAATTCTGATCCGTAACAATGGCTTTTAGGATTCTTGTTGCGTTTCTAGTCCTGTCAGTAATGTTGGAGAACTCAGGCTTGTGCAAGGCCCAAGGATTTGAGTGTGTTTTCTACTACTGCCCACCGAGTAAAGGAGAGGTAGGCAATTTTTACAAAGGCCATTCTATTTCCAGTGAAGCAGTTTCCACCCGATGGAACATCATGACTTTATTTCAGTTATTCCAGCGGCAGTTAATGAGATTTTTCGTGAAAAAAAGTGTATAAATGATTGTTTTGGCGGCTGAGAGAAAATTACCGTGTTCGTAACTTTATGCTTGCGTTCAAATATTTGCACAATTTGACAAGTAGACGCGAACTACCAACTTTTCCGTAATTAAGTCCTTGTCGTAGGCGCCTTTGACTGATCTGAATAAACTGCCAAAAATATCACCGAGGCGACTGGATAAAATGCCAGCTGAGCCCTATTATCACAGTCAGACATTTTTCTCGCTCGTGATCTACCTGATGATCGTAACGATGACCTTCAAGGTGTTTACGCTGCTTGTTTTCCTGTTCGCTTTGCTTGGATTCTCGGGCGTATCTCAGGCCCAAGATTATGGGTGTATAATGAGCCCTAAAAAGTGCAACATAAATGGGGTAAGTGCAATCGACCAAATCGAGTGCTAAAGATATTGAATTCTCAAGGTTTTAGAAATTTGTAGACGGTAACTCTCAGAAAAATCCCAGAAACTAGCAATGTTTGACACTTTTCTCCAATCGAAAAGAAAATATCAAGCAACCGATAAAAAAAGGTCAAGGTCTGCACAGAAAGTAATGGAAAACATTCAATGATTGCGCTCTAGAATTGGAGAATCCTAGTAAAAGGACTTTCCTAAGTTACAGTAACTCCACTTGTAGTATTGTAGGCTTATAACAGATGTCTTTTGGAAGAATGGAAGATTTCTTTTGAAAGGAATCTTCTCAGTTGCAGTAACTCCACTTACATAGCATTCGACATACTGTAGGCTCATGTCAGATGTTTTTTCATTATGTCACAATTGTGGTACAAAGAAACAATTTTAAGCCCCCATCAAAAATCGAACTTATGACCTTCAATATCTGCGCTACAGTGCTCTATATCTAGAGCCTGTGCGGTGCGGAGCTAGGCCATTACAAGGTTCACGCGTCCTACATATGCTAAGATCAGCAATGTTGAGAGCTTTGTGTAAACAAATAGAATGAGGAAAATAGTAAATTATATGCGTCGTTATAAATTTAGAAATATATTTTTTCGTCTTACTATGAGTGTAGGAGTTCCTGCGAGAAATCGCATCTTTGGAGGCTTCTTCATGATTCTCTTTCTTTACAGATACGAAATGACCCGGATCTTTCACCGCAGATCCCTCTAAACGAGTACAGACGAAACAAGTTATCGCGTTTAGAAGAATTCCTGCGAAACAAACGAAACCGCTTTGTTGATGATGTCATGCTGAATGAGGAATAGCCATGTTGTACCAATCTTGTCAAAAGAAAAGGAACCGTGCCGCTCGTTAACGAAGACTCTATATAATTTAAAGCTAAATTTAAGACACATCAAGCTGGTAAACAAGTCTCAAAAATGAATAAAGAGGAAAAAAAATACATTTATTTCATTTCTCGTAGGACATCCTCAAGTTTGGAAATTTAACTTGAACCAATTAACTCTCTCTAAGAAGTCATCTTTGAGAAAACTTCAAGAGGAATAAATGCTTGCTGATTACTTTATTCTAATTTCTTTGGACTCTTGGACAGGTGAATTTATTGCAAATGACTAACAAAGATTGTCATTACTTTCGAAGATCTTCGAAGAAATGAACGAAGCTTTATTCGTTCCAGAAAAAAATATAAAAGATTTAGCATGTTTGGAGCTGGAAGATGTGTAGAGCAACAGTAATACCATTGAAAGAGTAGTTGACAGAGAAATTCAGGCACAGCTTATTCGGAAAGAACCGAATTATAAACAATTTGATCCAAGAGAAAGATTCTTCGTGTAGCGCTTTCTGGAAAATGAAATATTTAATGTAGCTCAGCTTCTAGAACGGACTTAACCTTTAAGCATTAAAGCTCGGGTCGCCATGGAGACAACAAAAATCGAGCTCTCGTAATTTTCCCATTTTCAACTTGAGCTTATTCCAAAGACAACCGATAGAGGAAAAATAAAATTTACTCCGCATGCAAGAGAAAATAATTTTAACTCTTTGTAGAGAAGGTGATGGAATAACGTCTGCAGGTGCTGACTGAACAACTCATATTTTTGAATATTCTACAGCTTTTTATTTATATTTACGAAAAAAAAAAAAAAAAATAAGAGACAAATACTCCCTACTTCTAAAATGCTCGCCCCATGCAGGTAAGGTTCAAATTAGTTAAATTCTATTCTATACCTATGTCAAAAAAGAGGGAAATATATTCACTAGCATTTTCCCTTCATGAAAATGATGAATCAATTGTATTTCACCCGGCCGGTGTCATTTGGTTATAAAAAAATGCCCGCTTCATCAAAATTCATAACACATTTAGAAGTGATGGCTGCCATCGATTAGCATGTGTATACATTTAAGAGAGGTGGACTCGCACAGCATTCTTAAGAAATAGGTTCATTAGCAACTGTTATAGCAACACACTAAAGGTCGGACACAGCATAAACTTAATCACACCCAGTTTTGTTAATAATAAACTTCAAAGCAGATAAGAGAGTTTTATTTCGGAGCCACTTATAGTCCTAATTAAAACGCCAGCACGTTCTACCAAGAATAAAGGGGTAAGTTTCTAAAGAAACTGTGATGCTGCGTCGGTGGGAGAATATAGCAGGTAATTTAGTGTTAACAACTGGGTTGAAAACGTAAATTAGCCACCGTAGAGGGTAAAAAAGCTGACGTTTCGAGCGTTAGCCCTTCGTCAGAGCGATACGAAGGGCTAACGCTCGAAACGTCAGCTTTTTTACCCTCTACGGTGGCTAATTTACGTTTTCAACCCAGTTGTTAACACTAAATTACCCGTTCTACCGAGAAGATTGTTTCCTCGCCGGGGTTTATCGTGCTAATAAGCTTTAAGAAAGATCTGCGGTAATTGTTCAACACTCGAAATTGAGCTTAAAGGCTCGATTTTTCACCGGCTTAATCAGTTAATCAAGAAGTCTCTTCATTTATTATTCAAGGTGATCTTTAATGGCTCTTTGAAGGCAGCTTCTATTAACTAAACTATAGGGAATCCTTAAGAATTCTTTACTGAAGCCTAGTTTTCAAACATTTGGCACTTCTGAGCCATTAAAAATATAAGTAGGATAAATGAAACGAAATCAACATACTAAATTTGACACTTTCCATGGTTTCAAGTTAATTTCTACCGGTGGACAGAAATTCGTTACTACTGTTGCTAACAGGAAGATTCACAAGTTTATTGTCTTGTTGCAGTTGGTAATTATAATTTTCTCACGATGCCTCCCGGCTGATCATAAGTAACACCTCTAATTTCTAATGCACCTTTCGCCTTTAGGGGACCACGGCAGTATTTTAAAATATTGTGTGGTATCGGCCTTTTATGACGTAATGCTTGTAATCAACCGTAATAATGAGTCGATCACGATTATAACATGCATCAGCAGGTGTCTCCGCCACGAGTCCTAATCAATGACTTGTTGAATTAACGATCGTTGGCGCCACCGCTTTTTATGACTCACACATAAATAAACCGTGCAAAGCTCGTGTGAAGGCAAAAGTGAAGATTTCCCCGAGGTGACAACAGATCCAAACATGGTGTCTAGGTTGTTCTTTGCTCTTTTAGTTCTGTCTGTGGTATTAGAGTTCTCAAGTCGATGTGAAGCTCAAAACGGAAAATATATATGCATGTTCATGACATGTAAGCGTGAGGTATGTCACATGACGAAAGTAGAGTTTTTAAGGCTCTTTTTAACTGTTGTAGATGCGTAATTCCTCTAGTCTTCACAATTTCTGAGCTAGTAGCTCACCCATCCAGTTCGCCCTAACTAAATAATACGCCATTTTTTTTACTGAAAATTGTAAACACGGTTGATCTACTCTGCCATCGCTCTACTAGAATATTAGACAGGGCAAAGATTAACTTATACCTAAAACAGCAAACGAAAAAAATTATTTTCTTCTGCCTGGTTTGAACTAATATTTACACAAGGATTGAGATAAACGTTTGCGGTCGCCTGATCTCTGACTTTTGTTGTTTTTCTTCCAGGAGTTGGAGAATCCTCAGGCCTCATTGGCCGATGATAACCCAGTCCCTTTGAACGAGTACAGACGAAATAAGCTGATGCGATTATCAAAACTGCTTCATGAAAAACGAAACTTATTTGACGATGTTCAGTCAAATGAGCGATGATGATGGATCTTCCATAACAGAAACTTACATGCGTATCTTAATTTGAATTGGAGATTTATCCCAGATTAATTTGTAACGATACTTATGAAAATTGTACATGTTACAGATTATATACTTCTATGAATAAAGGTAAAAAAATAATTCACGTTTGGTTTCAATTTTTGGTTCGTTTAATGCAGCATTGCGATTTACGGAGCCGTTTAGTTCTATCTCAGAATATAAAACGTTGTCATTTACCAAACTGTAAAATAGACGTGAAGAAAGAAAAAGAAAAAAAAACATCAAAAGAGTATTAGAAAAGAGTATTTAGAAAAGCGGGCATACATCGTTTTCTGCAATGACTGCCACTGCGTTTCCTTCTAGTACTGAAACTATCCTTACATTTTTTTCCCCAGATTGAGAGCTGACGACTTTTTGTCTCCGCGTAAGATTTAGGAAAAGCAAATCCTTCCGGAAGGCACTAGTAATCTGAAAATAAGCAGTTAAAAGCCTAAAATTGAGGCAGGTAGAGATGACAAAATTCCTCGCAATAAAAGGATCTTTTCCACTGTGTGTGACACACGTAGAGTAGAACCTAGCTAACTTTGTTAACCTCAATGAACTCGGACTTCCCACTAACTCGAACAAGATCCGATTTCCCTTGGATTTGAAGCCAGTTTTCAGTCATTAACTATCAGCTAACTCTAACTCCCTGTTAACTGGAATTAATTTTACTTTCCCTCGGCACTAATTTACCCCGATAACTAAAATTTTAACTCAAAACTTTGGTCGATAAACGTCAAGGTGTCAGAACGTAGCATATTGGCACGTCCAATGTTTAATTGCTGTTGATACGAATCCTATAACATTAACGAAAAAGTAATATTCTTAGCTCAACCAAACTAAATGTCCTTATCTAATAGGTATTATAATACAAACTATGTGTACGAAAATGACTGTTGATTGTGCAAGAATGGTTAAAAATATGATTCTCTATTAATTATTAATATTATAATTGATATTCAACACCAATTTCGGTAACTCGCATCCCTGCTTACTACAACCATTTCTTTTTTTCTCTCGAGAGCTCGAGTTAGCATGGTTCTGCCATTACTGTTCGATTTAATGACTTATATTCTTCGATGGGATTCGGTGACATAGAAAAACACGATTACAAAAAATATCTAACTATTTATTTTACTATTTACGCAAGAATCTTTGAAATCACATCCTTAGAATTCTACCGCCCACCTAGGAAAATATCGGCAGTTATCGTAATTTCTCCTGATTTTCTTTCACCTCTCATGCTTAAATGAAATGAAAATTTGATTTGACTCGCCTTAACAAAACAGTCATACCCTTTTACTCTCATGCAAATTAAGTGTGATTAGGTCAACTGAACATTCTCAACTTTTGAGAACTAGAATTTAACTGGCATATGATGAGTTGTATCGTCCCAAAGAAGAGATTTAATTTTTCTCATTAACCCATAAAATGACTTCTAACACGCAGTGGACACTCAAAAATATTTTTACGTAGTGTAAAAATGTTTATAATTATCTGGCAAAGAGGTCATAATTTAGCGTTTTCTGTGATTAAACTTGTATCTCATGTTTAACTCGTGGTTACGCGAAGCGTAGAAACGAGTTCATATGTACAGAATTACACGCAAGTTGTTATTTATCTAAAAATATTCTGCCGCTTAAGCAAAAATAATTGATTAGTTTGAAGGGTTCCCTCGAAGTATTCGGTACCCTGTAAGTGCCATCTCTGGAAACGTAAGGCTTGAAAATCCTCGCCGCTCGAACAACGCCCTCTTGAAACATTGAAACACTACTCTTAAGTTTGAATTTGTAATTAAAGACATTAAAAGCCACGAGGTTTTTAATTAAATAGATGGTAAAAATTAGAGGTTATTTACAAATGAAAATGTAAATTATAATAAAGTTCTATTTACGAGGAAATTTGGTTTTATCAACTGAGTTGATGATTAAAATAGGCTGTCATGAAAAGTTTGTAGTGGCGACGTTTCGAGCGTTGGCCTTTTTCTTTTTCTCTGTCGAAATGCTAACGCTCGAGACGTCAGCAACAGAAACTCTTTAAGATGGCTAATACTTACAGATGATAAGACCATGATTATCTTAATTGAATAATCCCTCCGGCGCACGACCACAGTTTTTTTCGGAAACTTGCCCTCTTTAAGTTTAATTGGGTAATCATCTCTTTAGAAACAGGTAATTTGCGGCCTCCTTTCAATAATACTCGTTAAGGGTCTCACTTTGCCTTTATCGATCAGTTTGTTAATCGGGTATAGCTTTGAGTGTTAATCGAAAAAAAAATTGGCTACCTTCACTTAAATCGCCTAATTACCTGTTAGCAATCGAGCACTGCATATTTACTATGTCCAGTGTGACTTCTGCAAAATAAGACCCTAATGCTTAGAAAATTGACATTTAGAAACTTTAGGAAGTCTTTTTTATGTTTTATCCTCATATCCTTTAGAAAATGAACAAATCTGCCAATAACAGAGCTGGTGGCGCATTGAAAAGAAATTTCAAAACGGCCCATGAAATGGACTATTCTCCCTACCGGAGTAAAAATTACTTACGAGTTCTCTTTTTTAATAATCCGATAAGAAAAATTCATCTTTTCTTTTCAGTGTAGATATAACCACCGCCAGGCTGTGGAAAATTCATTAAAATGTCAGGTTACAAATTTATTTTTTTCTTCCCATGTGGCTCTTTGTAACAAATTCTACTTAGTGATAGACATACCACAGAGATAATCCGTCTGCCCTTTTGCATAGATTTTTGCAGAAAAAAGAGCGGAGAAATCTTCTGTCTTTTCTTCTCCGATGGTAGTATTGGTGCTTGGCCACTTGTCACAGAAAAGGGCAGTATCTTAAATGTGTACTTTAAACCCTAAAGACCCGACGAAGAAAACGTTTTTTCTAGACTAGTAAAAATGAATTGATTTTTGTTTTTGGTATGATTTGTAAATTGTTGGGAAACACATCAACTCTCTAGCATGAATGTATCTCAGTTCTCTTCACCATTAACAATTACATCTTTAATGACACTCAAACTCGGAGGCAACGCGCTTCTTATCGCATTTCAACTCGAGTAACCATGAAAACTCATTTGAACTGAAGTAACACGTTATAGTTATAACCTCTTTTTACCAGATACAAGGCGACAGTTTTGTCCTTTAACGCTGAGTATGGCAGTGAGAAGGAAGACTTAGAAGACACAAATAAACAAAGCACAGAAATGCCAAAAACACTTTCAAACTGCATGTAGATGATTTTACAAGCTTACTGAATAATAAATAAACCAATCCTAAAAATAAATGATAAACAAAGAAAAACATTCGGAGAAGGTAAAAATATTTTTTTAATGTTGAAAATGACGGTATGAAATGTATCAAAACCTACTGAGTATTTTTTTTACTAAGGCTGAGTGAACCCAGCCACTCCCCCTGCTCAACCAGTGGAAAATGGAAGGATACTTTAAGTCTTAGGTTTTAGCCTCTTATGTGCGATTCAAGAAAGTCGGGTAATCTGTAGCCGGCTACAGAAACTCCTCGCATCGTTGCCAGGCTCCCCTTTCAATGAAATTGAAAGATAATGCAGGATCTCGGCGATGATAAATTTCCTGAGAATCCCTTGGAATAATTATTTCTCTATACAGTCCAAAATGGCGTCCGTGATCACAAGAAAAATGACTAATCTTCAAAGTAGAAAAGTATCGTAGTCGCATCGATTTTTTGAAGGAGTTATATTTTACGAATTGCGGTTAAGTAAGTCTTGCACAAATAAATAAGCAATGACCAAGATTTCTACGAAGAACTGAATTTTGTGATGTTGTATTCAAGCCACAGAACAGTGATTAATTGAACGTTTTGTTTATATTCTGGTGAAATTTCACTGGAAACAATTTTCATAACCCTTTTCTCCCCAAGAGTGACCGGCTCCTAATTTCGCTTTACAGTATCACCCTAGAACCAAATGTAATGGTCGTGAGAATTATGAAAATGGTCGGCAATTTATGAGCTCCCGATTCATAAACAAATTCTTTTTGTCAGCACCATTGGAAATGTAGAGGGAGCGTTTGGAGAAAGTGCATACAGACGTTGGGGTCAGCCAGGAGAGCTTTTTTTCGCGAATCATGGACAATCCGATGAGTCCAAAAATTTTAATATCAGCAAAATTTTCACACTGCACGTTCTTTGGAATACTACACAATTTTCAGCGAGGAAATAATCATCCGAATATACTGAAGAATATTACAAACACGATTTAAGTTTCGTGTTGTCAGCTGCTGAAATAACCCTAAGCTCAATGACACCATGTAAAGTATGCCGACAGAGGAATTTTTATTTGGATTCGTTGCTGGTATGAACTGTCCTAAAAATTTTCTTTTTTGCGTTTGAATATTCAAGTATAATTGAAAGAGATGTACTCTTTCAACACTTTCCTTCTCGTCCTTTAATTGGGCAAAATATGTGCATGCGTCGAAAGATGTAGACTGATATTTATCACTTAATGATGTAATATCTTGATTTTTTAACAACACAATAACGAGGGTGTCAACCTGCAGAGAGCGCAACCGCAAAAAAAGAAAAAAAATGCAACTGGAATGTTTCACTTAGTTGTGATATGACATCGCTCGTGAAATGGTAAGTTTTGAACATCGTTTGGTCAAGGTCAACCGTGGCATGTTATTAATAAATACGAAAGGGGGATGTATACTCACTTGTCTTACATAATTATCAAATTGACCGCACTTGGAAAAGGTACCGTGTGAGCATGGCTTCTGTTGCTTCTATTTTATCAGGAGAAAAATTAGCAGACTTAATTTCAGTAACTTATCATTACAAAGAATGGTAATTAGGATTCTACTTCATGTTTGATATCCGACTACTCTCAACAATTTCATCGGACAAATTTTTTTCCAATAGTTTCTAAGATGCTATACAATTTTAAAGATCAAAATCTACTAGTTGACTAAAAAATGTACAATTAATTGGCCCTACCTACCCTTCAAAGCAGGAATTTTTTTTTCTATTGTAATGCATGTCATGACGATTTCATCTCTCTTAATCTCTGTTTCTTACTACGAAAAAAAAAATAACAAAGACAAGAAAAAAAAAAACAGAACAAAGCAAAAAAAATCATAAAGACAATGCTACTTGCGCTAATAATTTATTTGCTCTCAGTCTTTCATTGGCTCAGGAGGTTATGGCCAGCACTCACTGCTGAGTGTAGCTCGAGTTAAAATTAGTTCCAGGGACAAATTGAAAACCCTAAGAATTTTATCTTGGAAAACTTGGATTGAATGAAAAGGATTAATTTCCATTGTCCGCCACAACTTCGTTGTCTGAATGACTGAATAGAAAAAATTCAGAATCTGTTGAAATTTTGATTCAGTTTTCAGTCAGCATTCAAAATCTTGTGTCCATTGCAACACCGTTATACAAAGCTATTCAAAAATGGTGAAAGTTTACTGATTTGATAAGATCGCACTGCTATATCTAGAGAGAAAAAGACTATAAAGCTGAGATTTTTGACTCAGATGCACTTCTCTCTAAACTTGGCCAACTACCAAACGAAAGGTGAGTCATCATTGAGCTCAAATGATCCCAGGACCATGCATTTCCTTTTTGTGGTTTAGCTTCAAGTGTTCGTAACAGAAATGGTTCCCGTGAATTCTCCAAAATGAACTCTGACTGTCCAGCGTAAAGATTTCGCCTTCTTGTTGACGCCGAAGTAACGACATTTGATCCGATAGAAAAAAGACGGTTTTCCCTAAATTCGTCTGAATCAGAAGCTTCGGCTGTAATTGTCTTTAAATCTCATCGTGATCTATTTCAAAAAGGGACTTGTATAGTGGTAAATATCTGCAATTTAGTTGTTGGGGCACCTGAACGTGTTAACAGTAGAACTGGTTGATGTTTGAATCCTAACGGGAGAATCTTTCTCCCACTTTCATGACTAATAAACGTAGAACTTTTTCCTTGATTTCAGTGAATAAAAAATATCTTGCAGATTCCTTTCATAAGGAATGAGTGGTAACAATGACAGATGTTAGGATCTGGATCGTGTTCATACTGGCTGTTGGAACAGTGACGAATGCAAACAATTTTCGGGTACTAATATTTGTTTTTCTGAAACAATTTCTTAACGGTTTAACCTTCCCGTTCGTAGCGTCGAAATTTGGTCAAATATTTTTCTCCTTTTCTTCCTTTTTTCGCTTGATGAAGCTTATTGTTAAAAAAATCACAACTTTACGTTGAAGAGGGAGAGTGGCAGAGGATTTAAGAATTTCTAATGCAAATAGATACCACGAGGGAATAATGGGTTTCAGAAGATTGATAACGTTTTCACTCATCTAACTGTAATTTTAGTTGTTATGCTGATCGAGGTGTAACGATATACGTGCACTATGATCACCTATTTGCATTTCTTGTATCATAGGTTTAAAGCACGTAGATCGATTAAAAATGAAAATATCTAGCCATACTTTTTGCGTCGTGAATTTTTTGAAGCTACTTTTGAGATATGAGGAAGGGCAAGTGTATGCCAACGCCACAATGTTCCAGTACATCTTTTCCGTAGTCTTTTGGAACAAGAGAACCTCTTGTAGTCGTTTCCAGTGTGTTCTGAAACGATTTGTGACGGTTTATAGGTAGTCAGTTGTTCCAAAAAGAGTCCTCCTGTACGTTACATCGCTATAGGCGATCCTTCAGGTTACTAAGCGGAACAACTTTTGCAAAGACCCGTAGGTTATACCCCTCTGAGTCGCTTTTCTTTATTCCGCCAACAATGAAATGTTTAAATAAAATCACTTTCAAATGAAGGCTGAGGATTTGAGACAATGAACCCAAATGGAACAGAACTTGATACAGTATGTTTATCGTCAGTATGTTTATCATTCCTTTTCATTGCAGATGAGATATCTCTACAGAGTCAGTGATGAAGAATCTGGAGGTAAGCGATTTTTTCTGCATAGGGCTACCACTAAGGGACAGTTTGGGCGGACATGTCCAGAGACTTATGAAAAAAAAAAAATAGTGGCGTTGTTCGATCGCGAGACGAATCTCCTATTCTTAGTCAGTCTCATGAAATTACACCGTGGCATGTACACCTTAAAACAATTTATTTTAATGTCGATATCTGCAATCTTCGG